CGTCTTGTGCCACATCTTTAACATCTTTTAGCAAATCATTATACTCTTTCTGAGTTTTAATAATTCTGGATGTTCCTGAGTGAGCGAATGGTCCTGACACAATAGCTTCCCATACAAGATACCCATTGTCTTCAGATCCGATGACGTAGTCTTCAAAGTGATGCGCCCAAACTTCGTAATCTTGAGCGTAAAGAATAGGAATCTTTGTTGTTGATCCAATACTGTTTGAGATGTTGATAGGATTAGATTGAGAATCGTCCATGCTTGATCGTTTAACCTGTTTGAAAGATCAGACTTGTAATATATAATATTAGTGCAAAACGAATAAGTAATGAGATACGTCAATTATGGAGTGACGGCTCAATAAATACTAGTTAATGCGGAATGAAACCTAATAACTTCTTTCACAGAAGAGATGTGTATGAATTACACAGCCTCCTGCTCTGATACCAATTGATGAGATTTATAAACTCTTTGATCGATTAGATCTTTGTAACAGGTAGATAATGAATGTAAAACAATGAAACAATACACGAGTATGGATCTGAATGAGTCGAATGATTAGAACACTCAATCCTCAGCAGAGCTCGATTAAGAACTTTCGCTGTAGAGGATTTTAGGGTTACAAAAGAGATCTTCTAAATCACACGTAAAAAACGATCTATCAGCTTTCGAAAAGATGCATGCAAGCATCTATTAATACACAAACCCTAACAAACAAGTCACAGATGGACAGGCCCATACCAGATACAAAATAGGGCTAAGAGACGAGCCCAAGACGCAACACCATATACCCAACATTATATGTCACAAATGTGGCTCAGAAACTACTTTGCAAAGCAATGTTTGGCTGAAGCTCCGCAAAAGCCAACGGTAAAAGACTATTCCTATTATTCTCGTAAAGCACAAGAACTTGCTGAAAGTGAAAAGGCTTTTGTTACTACAATATCAAGGAATGTTCATGGGTATTGGTTGTCTGGTGAAGAATAATCTGCAAGGAATTTGTGTCTAATGGCTAGAAAATCAACTTACCGTGATAAATGTTATTGGTCATCTGGTTCAGAAGCTGATGATGACAATGCTGAGCCAAACAACTACTACTTTGCAACAAATGATATTGAAGCATCATCCAACAGGTAAAACCCATGCACTGATAATAATTTTGATTTATCTATTTGTGAGCCTTATCCAGGTCAAATTCAATTAGATATGACAGCAATTCATAGAGCCTATGAGTCTACCATAGAAGTTAGTGAAAAGTTGGATAGTAAATTAACTAGACTTAGACTACGTTTTGAAGACCACAAGCTTAAGGTTGAATCATTAAAGAGAGAACTTGTAATGGCTAAGGATGAATGTATAATTTTGAATGATAAATGTGAAATTACTCTTAGTGAAAGAAATATCTTGGTTACTGATAATAAATGTCGTAATGTAAAATTTGATGCTTGTCATAGTTCTATTGATGTTCTTAAAGTTAACGAAAGAATGACACATAACTTTTGTCACCCTTAGTCCAGAGCACCAGGTCTGAGAAGTGAGATTCTATAACCAATTGCTCGTCATCTGAAGGAACTTCAAAACCTAACGTTTATGGGATACATTCTGAATCATACTTATTCAGATACCCTGTCTCACCATTGTCGTCCCTTCATGAGAATTTAGACAAAATATCAGTTATTGATTGTTGAGTTCAAACATGTCACTATTAAAGGTCCGGATTCGATGCATCTTCTACCTCTAATATCCTTGGACTTTATTCAGTCTTCAGAATCTGCGTATAACACAAGTAGTACTAGAATTTGCATTCCAAACTCTAGTCCTCCGAACAATTGTGTTGTTGAAGAAATCGCTCCTAAGTCAAACGGACATGCCTCATACCAATCCAACTCGTTTTGGGCGTCTCTTGATAGTGATGTAGAACTTAATATTGATGAAGACATCTCGTCAGATTCCTATGTCTCCAACTCCAAGATAGTCTAAAAATCAACTCTGGTGCCAACTAAGCCTCGCTTCAACAATCCATCTATTGTAAAAACTTTCAAGTCATCATCTGAATATCGGATGAAACCCTAGATGAACAAGAAATACATTGTTCATCTAAAGACTAAAGCAAGGAAAGCGCTCGAAAAAGAAACAAGGTCTAGGTAATGCTCTAAGTTTCTTGAGAAATATAAGAAGAAAGTGTCTTAAACAGTTACAAGTACTCTACTCTCTCTATCATGTGCTACTCACTAGCAAAACTCTCATAAGCAACTCGTTGCTATCTAAATCACTCTTAAGCATCTCTAGCAGCAAAACCCCTAGACTAAGGCATCATATATATCAGGCCACTCTAGTCTTAATAAAAAAACCTAGTCTACTCTAGCATGCATATCGTAGCTCATCATATAGCATACATAACATATATGATAATCACTTATTATGAGGGTATTTTGGGAAATCACCGTTCGGGCGCTGGCTCATCGTACACACGGCTCTGCTTTGTTTGTCTCAAAACTCTTTTTACTCTTTTTTCAAAAATGTTATTTTTATTATTAAAAATTTCCTCAAATCCGCAGTTTGAGTTCAGATACGCCCGAAGATATATCCGAATCCCTCCAAGCAAGGCTTTGATACCAACTTGTAACACCGTAAAAATTTGAACAACTTTTCACTTTTGAAAAATTTAAATATCATTTATAATCATAAATAAAACATTGTATCCACATTGTATTAGTACAAAACCCAAGATCAATATATATATATATATATATATATATATATATATAAACTCTGGTGTGCGTGTGTATGAATCATGCCGGCGCCTTCCCGTGATCATCACTGGTACCTGAAACACATAACACATAACACTGTAAGCATAAAATGCTTAGTGAGTTCCCTAAAATACCACTCTAACACATAATAGCCACTCGAGGTTGTAACTCTGTTGACCCTCAGGTCTAGGTGTCTCAGTGGGGCCCTCCAGCCCCAACTCTCTATTGGCCCTCTGGCCCTAACTCTGTGGACCCGAAAGTCCTAACTCTGTGGAGCCGAAAGTCCTAACTCTGTAACTCTGAATCATGCATAACACATATCACAATAAATCATAGCACATAAGTAATATGCAATTACACTGGCATATAACTCTAAAATACTCTATCACATAACTCTGTTACCACACTAGGTAAAGTATAGTGAGAAGACTCACCTCGGGTATCTCGTTAATCTGTGACTCGGTAACGTTGGTCTAACTTCCGCCTAATCAAAATAAATACCCTAATTATTATAACTCTCAAAGGCTAGACTATGTCCTCTCATGACACTCTCAGAAGGGTAAAAGACCATTTTACCCCTCTCATATCTCAAAGGCCCAAAATAGACCATACCCTAAAAGTCAACTCAAAATTCAACTTTCCGGGTTACGCTGCGCGTACCAGATGTGTATGCTGGGCGTACCCAGCTGCCTCTCAGGATCGGGGGACGCTACCCAGTACGTGGCGCGTACTGGGATTACGCCCGGAGTACTCCCAGCTTCAGCACCTTAACTCTTTTAGGTCTTAAACGGTTAAGACCCACATCCAGATTTTAGATCTGACCATTTCTAAGCCTCTTAAACCATAAAGTCGATGACTTTAAGCCTTTGCATGGCTGAATAAGTCACTAGCACCCAAAACATTTCATTCTCTATCCCTAGAAAGCATAGAACTCAAGCATGACCTCCTATTAATGACCAAGATGGGAACTTTATGGATCTAGACCTCAACTACCACTGAAAAGGGACAGATCTCGGACCATGGAGCACCTTACACTCATAAAGTCTCCACCTTTAGGGTTTTTAACCCTAGAAATGGCACATGCAACAACAAACCAAAATGAAGAGGAAAGTTTTGAACTTTATACCTCTAAATGCATCTCCTTTCTCTGTAGATCTTAGATCCAAACTTGCACTTCAAGCTTTTAGTCTCCACAAGCTCCTTTCCTCCTTCTTCACTAACACACCAAGGCACTATTAGCTCCAAGAACACACACACTCACTAAGGACGATGGAAGGCTCTCTATTAGGGTTTTACTCACTGATATGGAGGCTGAGAAATGAGCCTTAGCATCCTTTAAATAGTGCACAACACAGAATTAGGGTTTTGCACCTAGACTGGGTACGCCCGACGTAACTCTTGGTACGCCCGGCGTAACTCTTGGTACGCCCAACGTACCTTGGCGATAACACGTTCTTTTTAAGCGCTTGAGTACACGCAGCGTACCCCTATGGTACGCCCAACATACTCACTTGCTAAACAAAAGACCACTCAAGGGCTAAACATGGCCAAACACAAAGAGCAAGGATGAAAGAAGAATACCTGAATCTCAGGGTGTTACACCTCCTCCTCGGGATCGTCCAGTTTTCAGTACAAGATGGGTTTTCCAAAAAAAACTTGACGACGCCGGAGTCATAATTAGAAAAAAAGGAGATTGGTAGCCAAAGGATTTACTCAGATTGAAAGGCTCGACTATGATGAGACTTTTTCTCCTATTTCCAGTCTTGAATCTATCTAAATCTTTCTCGTTTATGCTGCTCACAAAGGCTTTAAAGTTTACCAAATGGGCGTCAAAAGTGATTTTCTCAATGATGAACTTGACACTGAAGTGTATCTTCAACAACCTCCTAGGTTTGTTAACCTCTCATATCCAAACTACTGTTACAAACAACAAAAATATGTTTATGGACTAAAGCAAGCTCCATGCGCATGGTATGAGACACTAACTATTTTTGTAAAATGTTATGGTTTTCAAAGAGGAATGATTGATCCTACATTATTCCGAAGATTGAATGGAAACCATCTCATGTTAATTAAAATATATGTCGATGACATCCTTTTAGGATCAACTGATCCAACAATGGTTGCTGATTTTGCAAAGCTAATGTTTCGTCGATTCCATATGAGTATGAACCATGAATTGAGCTTCTTCCTCAAGCTGTAAATTTAGCAGGCCTACAGAGTAATATTCATTCATCAAGTGAAATGCATTTCCGAACTTCTGAAGAATATTCTATGGATACCTATGCCTCTGCAAAGGTTCCAATGGGATTTAGAAACAAGATCTTCTCTAACCCATCAGGTATTGTCGTTTATCAATATAAGTATGGAGGAATAATTGGATTACTACTCTACCTCACCACAAGTCACCTGAATATTATGTTCTATACATGTCTATGTGCTAGATTCCATGTTAATCCGAAGATGTATCATCTTTTGGTCGTCAAGTGAATTTCCTGATATCTCAAAGGAACTAAGCACCTTGAAATTTGGTACACTACAAATGAAAGCTTCCTTTTTCAATCTTATTCTTACTCAATCTATGGAGGACTTCAACTTGATAGAAAAAGCACATCTGGTGGTTGTTAATTATTAGGTGGAAGATTGGTTAGCTAGTCATCCAAGAAATATAAATGTATTGCTCTTTCAACAAATATACCATCATTTTATTCTTAATTGTCACTTAAGAAGCCATTTGGGCTATCCATTAAATGCAACCCGTCTTGGTTTTTGGGTGTCATCATTTCATTCTCCGACCCAAATCAAAACTTCCAACCTATATTAGGATTTTGAATCCTAACCGTTCTTGATTTTCTCTATGGCTATCTTCTTATTAGAGCAATTTATTCCATACTCTGTTCCTCAAAGCTTTTCTAGATCATCATCAATCACGTTAAAATCTTCAGATATGCCATCCAAATCTTCTAAACTGGCGACAAGGAAGAAATCATGAAAAGGATCTGCTTCGTCTTCTTCCACTTAGATCATTCTCAGAGAAACCACCCAACTGTTTTCTCTCGACCCCATGGATTATGATGAATTTGTAAGGATAATGATCGAGTTCATCTCTTGTCATCCCATTTCCGTTCCTCTCACCAAAATCCCTAATCCTAACTTCCCTCGTAGACTTCTTCATAAGGCCTTTGAACGAGTGAAAATCGAGAAAGATGTTCTTGAAGTGAAGATAACAGATGACAGGACTGTACCAGTTCACAAGAGTATGTTTCTTAAGGCAACCGAAATTACAGAAAATGCAAAAGGTTTTCCAGTGCATGAACCAACGTTTGAAGAGTTTCAGTCATTCTTATCCCAAATCGGTTACAATGGTGAATTCAAGGCAAAGAGTTCAAGAAATCAGTTATTCCTGGCTTGTGGACTATCTTGATGCACTTGATTCTTCGACGTCTGTCTGCCAAGCATGGTGGTACAGTCATCATGAGCAAAGATTTTCTCTACACGGTGAACATCATATTTACTACCAAAGCTAATGCCATCGATCTTCCAAAAGTGCTATGGCAAGATTTTAGGAAGTTTGCTGTCAAGAGGAAACCGAATGAGATCCCAAGTTTGAGATTCTGGTCTCTGACTCTGCAACAACTCTACTCTGAAAGACTTGAAGCAATTCCAATCAATTCAGACATCTGAGAGGTATACTGCTCCTTTAAAACCATTAAGACTTATAGATTGTCCAGTCAAAGTGCCTTTGGAACTTTTAGATGTTTGCCTAAGCATAAGTTAGCCACTGTTCCATCCGACTCACCACATCTCAAATATCATCTTGAGATCTTGGTTGTGTTTGACCCAACACAACTTACCCCAATCTCGGATGATACAACCACGGATGTGAGAAAAAAACAATCACATTTGGAGGACGCGTCAAACAAATTGCCAAATGGAAGGAATCCCATTCAAAACTCCTAGCCGAAAAGAGAACCAAAGTCATTGAATCCTCTCAAAAGGATTCACAAATCAGCATTCTATATGACTGTGTAACTCAACCTACCGCTCCCAACCCTCTTGTGAAGTACCTTTCGGAGATTCAAAATCACATCCACACACAGGGAGTCCGCTCATAATATACGCCCATATTATCAAAAAATGTTGCTAGTATTGGAAAAAGTCCCTTAAAGCCCCCTGGGACATATTCACAAGTCATCATGGATACCCACCTTAATTCTACAAATGCACAATCAATGATCCCTACCTTTGATTCCATGTTTTTCAAAGATGGAGTAGTCTATCCTACTTTGAAAGCCACAACCACTCTGATACCAAGTTCATGTAAAGGATGATCGGGTATTTTTGACAAGGATTGGTCAGATTTTGTTGACACAGATCACACAAGGCATCCAAAGCTCACCAGAGAATAAGTTTAATACACACTCATTTCCATTCATTAACAAGCTATTCAAAGTCATGTTTCATTCACCTTCCATGAAACGAAGAGACAAATCAAGAGCTTCAAACATTCATTAAATCCTTGAAGAATCCGAGTAATGAGGTTCTGACTCCTAAAAACACTGTAGATGATCCTTATCGGAATGAAGCTGCTATAACTGGAGATGTTCCTGATTTGATAAATGTTTCGGACGATCCTCTAAAGTTTACAGGTGTAGAACTTCCTGAGCCTAATGTTGAAGATGATCTTTCCGATGAGATCATGTTTGATGATGACAATACTTTGGCTGGTATTATTCTTGTTCTCTCTACCATCGATTGCTTTGTCTCAGTCTTACCCTTGAAGATGCCGAAGCATGCTAGAAGGAGAACATGGATTATCACATCTCCACTGTCACCATGATGCTCAAAGTTCATGATGACATGCTTTCTACCACCAACACTCTAATCAAGCAAACTCATGTTTGACATGAAAAACAAATTAAGAGGTTAGAGAAGGAAATTTATTAAAAGGATGCGATGAACATGGGGCTGCAGGAAGTGCTCATCAAGGTGATTCATGCTACTTAACATCACTTGGATATTCCAATCTACATGTTCAATGAAATGCTTCACATCCTCGATGAAACTTTTAGTCATCTCAAATATCAAGCTCCTATAGCTGAGGCATATGATTCACTTTCTATACAAATCAACATAAGCTTTCAAAAAGTTTTTGATTGATTGAATGAGATTAAGTTTGGTCAAGTGCTTGCATCGAAGACTAGGTCTTCCCGTGAAAGAGGAGGGGGGGGGGGGAGAACGTGAACAAAAGGAAGTGTTATGGAAACTGATCTCGAACTATGTGATCCCAGATGAATCATCCGATGAATAGATTCTGGAAGTAGAGAATCATGAAGATGTTGATAAAGAAGATTAGTTAATAATGTGATTCTACGACTAGAAGCTATCATGGAAGCACTTATAAAATTCCTTACAGAAGTAGAAAAGATGAAAGGGTCCTCCATTTCATGGTCATCATATTTACAAAAAAACTTTCGACAGAGCCGAGACATGGCTAATATAAAAACCTAAATGATGATAGACGCTTTCCGAGCCACTCAGTCACTACCTCCTCCAATTTTTTCTCTTAGGATATCTCAAATAGATGAAGGGTCTCCCACCTAGAAACCTAATGAAATCCCTGAACAGCCTCTAATTCTCCTCGATTTGAGATACTCATCATAGAATCTGGTCATCAAATCATCTCCTCCATTTCTTCCAAAGGTGAAAAATCCAAAGATACAGGAAAAAAGATTGCTACAAGTTCGGATAACCCAGTGGAAAATTCTAAGGGATGGTCCTAGGAACAAATTGAGCAAGCATTAGAACAAATCATTCGGATTCAAGATCTTAAAGATAACCCAAATCCAATGCTAGGAATTTCTCCTCTCTACCGAGAAGGAATCATTCATGATATACATTTTGTGCCCTTTATATATTTTGATCTTCCAACTCAAGATGTTGATCAACTGGACTTGCCAATCTCTCTAGATGGAAGCTACTATATCAAGTTCGTATCTCTGCATCCAACTGATGATCCTCAACCTATCATCCGAATTGAGTGTGAAATAATGAGCACCTTTTATTCTGCCAACGCATGACCCCAAAAGGAAGTGCAGTCTCAAAAAAGAATCACCAAGATAGCTGGTCATTGTAGAAAAGTCCAAAGAAAGTTTGATCTCAACTATATCCTGTACACATACTTTGTTTCTCAAAAGAAAGAATCTAACATCACAATCTCGGATGTTGACTTTCCTTCGATAAATCCAAATGACATTCTTGTCATTGCTACTCACCTCCGATATCGTTAATCAAATGATCAGAGCCTACAACTCAATTATCTGATTCTTGAAGGAGTATCACTAAATTCTTTTGATCATATGTAGAGTTTGCTCATCTTTTTGGAATGGAAAATATCTTAACCAAGATTAATACTGAACTTCCTGAAGCTCAGATCTTAGTTGAAGGACCCATTGAAGAACCAAAACTTGGTTATATCTATCTCAAAAATAAGTCCAATCAAAATGAATTTTTCATAGTGCTAGACAAACATCTTGTTCCTACCAAGATTCTTCAAAAGTTCATTTCAAATGCGTCCAAGAGTGATTCCCCCAAATATGTGAAGAAGAAATTTATTGAGCATCTCAAGTGGTACATCAAAGTCCGAAGATGGCTGTAAAGTGCTTATCTGTTAGTATTTGAGGAGGCTAAGTGATGAGTCAAATGATTGCTAAGGTCATTTATGGGGAGATTGTTGATACATGAAAAGTATTCCTTTCGCAATCCAAAATGAATTAGTTTCGAAGTGAGAACTGTTCCGAGATGAAGCCAATTCTGAAGTGAAGATCTATCCGAGATGCATCTTTTGTTACTTGCTATTTCAATCTGTAATGTGCATTAAATGTCCCTAGTACTGCTTTGTCCTTTTCTCATTGTTTTATTGTATAATACATGGGACAAGATCAACAAAAGTGACTGTGTCAGTTTGTTGATCTTCAATTGTCTTTTAATCCATGCACTTTTGCATATTTATCTTTTTTGTCATTCCTTGTCTATTTAAGGAACTATAACCTTAGTGTTTTACACGTACGAGTGCAACATTCTCTTTCACATCAATACCAAGAATCATTCAGTAAAATCAATCTCCCTATCATTCTTATTGTTCTTTAAATCACTTTACAATGTTCATACTTATTTTAGCACTCGGTTGAACTTCTAATTTCGATACAAGACTAGTTTACCAGACTTAACTGCACTATAATATTAGCAACATACATTGATCTTAAGTTAATTCAAGGTTTGAGTTTTCAAACCTTGTCCGTACACATATCGCTTCTTTTAGCATTCACATCAAACGGTAAAGATGGCAAATACTTTGAAGGAAACCGTTATAGTAGCCAAGAATCTAGAGACCCAACTTCGGGAGAAGGGACTGAGAGAATGGAGGTTGAAGAGAAAAGGAATTTTGATGGATCTGTAAGGTCTAAAAAAAGAGAAAATTTTAAAAATATGGTTCCAAAATTTTTGGAAGCGAAGGAGAAGAAAAATGGTGTGAGAAGTGCAAGAAGAAGCACTATGGGATATGTGACGATGAGTTGACCTGTTACAAGTGTGGGAGGACTAGTCATTATGCAATGAGTGTACATATAACAAAAAAAGTGTGTTACGAACGTAATGAAGAAGGGCATATTACAAGGAATTAATCGAAGAAGAAGGAGGATGCAAAGACCAATGTTTCGCCTAGGCTAAAGGCAAAAGCATTCCAGACGACACTGGAAGCAGCAAGGGAGGAAGCAGATATCGCTGCAGGTACCTTTCTTGTAAATGATTTGCATGCTAATAATTTTTTTAATTATGGAGCTAATTACTCCTTTATATCACATAAATTTGATAGAAGACTAGCATTGCCTATTGATAAACTAGGTAGTGCACTAGTAATAGAAGTTGCTAGTGGAAAATTTGTACCTGTTAGTGATTGCATTAAGAATATCATCATCAAATTGAATAGGAATAAATACCACAAGGAATTGTTGTCTGTTGATTTAAACAACTTCAACATAGTGTTAGGAATGGATTGGCTTAGTGCAAACGACGCCAACATCAAGTATATAAAGAAGACTATGGTGATCAAACCACCTAGAAAAGAGCCATTTATGGTGTATGGGGACAAGAGTAAAGTAAATTTTGGAATCATCTCCCTGATGAAATCCAGAAAGTGTTTTCCAAAGGATGCACATCATACTTGGTATTCGTGATTGATGCAAAGAAGGAGAAAAAGGAGATGCGATGGATACCCATGGTGTATGACTTTCTGGAAGTCTTTCCCAAAGGTCTTCCTGGATTACCCCCTAATAGACAAGTAGAGTTTAGGATAGACTTGTTACCAGGAACCACACCTATAGCAAAAACACCTTACTGATTAGCAACGACGGAGATGGAGGAGTTTATGATACAACTTCAAGAGTTGTTGGATAAAGGTTTCATTAGACCAAGTTCATCACCATGGGGAGCTCCGGTGTTATTCGTAAAGAAGAAGGACGAGACCATGAGGATGTGCATAGATTATAAAGAGCTGAAAAAGTAAACAATGAAGAACAAGTACCCATTACCAATGATTGACGACATGTTTGATCAACTACAAGGTGTGAGCTATTTATCAAAGATTGATTAGGTCGGGATATCATCAACTAAAGGTGAAAGAACAGGATATAGAGAAGACTACTTTCAGAACAATATATGGACACTATGAGTTTTTGGTTATGTCATTTGGACTAACCAATTCTCCAACAACATTTATGGATTTAATTACTAGGGTCTATTGTCACACCCCCAAACCTGAACGGCGGAAACGTTCGACGGTGGAGGACGTCATGTGTAGTATCACAAAAATGCACAATAGTAATCAAAGTACAACATTCATTACATTCATAAAATATAGCTTTACATCTATGTTCAAATGATTATATATTTGACACCAAAAAGTATAATTTACAAACATAATGATATAATATTGTGTCTTCCTCAATACCTTCCGATATCTGTTTAATGATTTCCTGAAAATACAAGTAGTTTTGAAACGAGTGTCAAAAATTAAGTTGGTGAGTTCATAAGTATGAAATGAAAATATTCTGTCATTTGTTTTTCTGTAAGGTAAATATGTTCACCCAAAAAATCCTATATCTTCTGTTGTATATGTATTTGTATTCCGAAATAGTATATTTTTAAATCCTCATAAAACTATAAAAAGTATGTTTTCTCTATATTTGAATAGTATCCTGTATTTCTACTTGTACAAAGTTGTAAATATCAAGATTTTACCCTTTATATTTTTACTATGATAAAACCATGTGAAGTTATTTACTTATTATTTAATACCAAATTGTGAGTTATCATAACCATACTTGATGACCTAAGCCTCACCTGAAACACAACGTTCTTCAAGTGTTGTAAAATGGTACGATAGTTGTCACCCCAGGCCTATCGGCCTAGCTGTTGCAAGCAGCTTAGGTGCGGGATGATCAGTCCTGTATAGATCTATACACAAGTGTCACGCTCTCCCTCCAGGAGACTTTGGTTATAATTTTCAAGACTTTTGTTCTATACTTAAATAAGTACTTGAAGTGAGTCTCACAAAAGTTATATTGATAATATGTAGAATAGTAAGAAGTTACTTTAATATAACTATACGAATAAATAAGTTTCATAAACTATATAAAATATAGTTTTATATGTAGTAAAGTATTCCATTTGTTTTCTGATGATTGTTTTATATGTTTACTTTATAGTAAAGTATTCCATTTGTTTTCTGATGATTATTTTACATATTTATTCTATTTGTATTTTATACTATGTTTATGTATT